TTTCCAGTTTTGCCCATCAATCTCCAAGGTCCAGGGCAATACTGGAAATCTGGTCCAGTTCATAGATTCAATTAATCATACACTGTATGTGCCTAGGGTCTCACCGTGGCAGCTGAGACAGGCCACCCCAACCGACTTTGTGGCACCACAGTGTCAGCCTTGTCAGGATAGGTCTCCCTAGACCACCCACTGGCTGTGAACATTCTAAACTAACATGAGTCTCATTAAGTGTCCAGTTTAAGGGTATTTCACAGAAACATACAAGGGAACATGAATTAAATATGCACTTTTATTCATTTACAATAAAGTCATAAAGTACATCATTCTGATTGAAGCTAAAGGCATACAAAACTGTCTAACACCAACTACCTAAAAATATTCGTAGAATCTCTCTCCTAAAGTATCTCCTCTAAGCCATTAGGAACTTATCATGTTGCCCCACTCCCCAATCAATTCCGAAACTCTATCCCCCCAATCTATATCCACTCTCTCTCATTTAAAATAGTCATATCAATTTATAAATACTTGAAGACATTTAATATTTAATCTAACCAATATTCAATGGGTATTAAATAGTGTTATTTCCAAAAGTTTAATAAATACGGTTAGTAAATTACCAGAAAATAAACATTCTTATTAGTATAGTTAGTAAATTATCAAAAAATTAATAAATATTGTTATTAATTAACTCATCGTAAAAGTATTGTGGGTAAATACTTTAATATTCATGTTAATTAACATCATTTTATAGAAATTGAAAGCTCTTTAACTAATTTCCATAAAATTGAGAATTATATTTAACAATTTTCAAAATGTATAAACATTTAGTTATTCTTATTATTGTAGTTAATAACCAAATGCAGATGGGGGGATAAAATATTATAATGTTGGAAAATGAAATTATTAATTAATTTATATTGTAAAATAAAAGATAAATTAGTGTAATTGTGTTAGTAAACTACCCAATAAAAATAAATATTTAATAACAATTTAAAATAATTTTTAATAAATCTCCATAAATACACAAATCTAATAAAAATGTAAAAACTTTTTGTAAAACTACATTTTCATAAAATAAAATTTTGGAAATTAAAAGATATAAAATTTATAAAGTTTATTTAAAGTGTATTAAATAATTATTGAAAATTATTGAAATATTTTGGAAATTTTAGGAACATTTATTACATTTGATAAATTTTAGAATAATATTAAAAAATTATGTAATTTTCATTGAAAATTATTGAAAACTATTAAAGATAAATGAGTGTGGGAAAGGTAAATCTATAATTTGAACTAATAATTACACAAATTATTAAGATAAATTAGTATAATATTGGGAAAATAAAACTATTGATTAGCTTATATTAGAAAATATAAGATAAATTAGTGTAATTTTGTAAGTAAACCATTTAAAAAGAAAATAAATTATTTGACCACAATTTAAAAGGAAATTTGAATAAATATTCAAAATTATACAAATGTAATAAATTTTCTAAATTTTTCATAAAACTACATTTTTGAAAATTAAAGACAATTTAGTATACTTTTTAAAATTTACCATGTGCCTGATAGTCAGTATATCCTTTTGATCATTTTTGTCATCAAGTTGAATATTGGGTTACGAGGAGTGGGTGCCTTGCCTTGAACCTGCCTGACACTAGATACAGGGCGAGGATGGGGTAGGCTGTCTTGACTACGGGGCTGGGACAAGGATGGGGTGCCCCACCCCACTGCCATTCCTATATAATTGTTAGCTATTAGTGAAATTAATAAAAATGTTAGCTTTTGTAAATTTTAAATATTTGTTCATATTAAATTAACAATAATTATTTTCTATAAATCAACCTTAAATAAAAAATTCAATTATTAAATTTTAAATATTAACAATAAATTTGAATACTTTTAGTTAATTAACATCAAATTTTGATTATTAATTTATCAATTAATTAATAGTAAATAAAATTATTCTATCTTTTGGATTTTCCTATGCATCACACGGGTCCCCACTAGTGTTAAATGTGGGGAAAAGTGCTGAAATTTGAAGATTTAGGGTGGGTGTTTGTCACAAATAAAAGTTCAAGGGGCTATGTGTCACTGCCCCCACAAAGTATTGCGTGGCAGACTGAAATTTACCTAGTTATTAATAATAGAATATTAGGTCAATTTCTAAAACACCCCTATAATTTCATACATTTACTAGAATGTATCTTATAGTTTGTATTCTATTAAAACACCCCTTATAATTTGCAATGGATTATTTAATCCACTTTCCATTAGATGACAGTCAAAGATGACAGCTTTTGACCTTAACATCCATATGAATAAATTTAATGAAAAGAACATAAATATTAAATATCATTTTTGCCCCTAAACACGAGCAACCATTCTACTTGTCTCCATTTGATCAATTTTGTTTTTTTGTAAGGAGTAATCTTAGAATAAAAAAAAACCGTGGGCACATATGCTTTTGAACATTTTTCATTTGGTTTAAGTGATTATGTTATTATTTTTAAATTGCAAAACAAACACTTTTTAGTGAAAGAGAAATTAAGTAAATAGGTGGTGCTTTAGTAATGAAAATTATAGGATAAATTTAATGAATCAATGAAATTATAAGGGGTATTCTAGTCAATGGCGTTGAAATATTCAACGGAGATGACGTATTCTATTAATGCATAATAAATGTTGCTACCCAACCAATTTAACCTCATTCAAATTCATACATGCCAACTGCAAATCAGTTCACACAACATGATCTAATCACTAAAAAAAAAAAATACACCATTGGCCTGGCTCCTTAGATCTTCTGCTACAAACACATGTTCCAATCCTCCCCGCCATATATGAGACGTGTGGTGTGAGATTATATTGGTAGAGGGTTGGAAGGTGTTTTGTTGGCAGGTGATCCAGACTCCTTCCCTAAAGCAAAACTTATCTATTATCAAGACATTCTTATTTTAGATTGTGAGCACCAGTTGAATCGTTTTGATCAATCAATCGCAGCCTCGCATCTTTCCCTTACTCTCATAGGCAGCCCATCTTTCATCCTAAGCGTCAATGAGAGAATCTGCTTGGGAGCTCTGTACTTGTCAACCAAGTCGAGATGGAACCTCGACAGCACTGATGCAACCACCATCTTCATCTGCATATGCGCCACATCTTTTCCCAGGCATATCCTGGGTCCGGCATGGAAGGCCGGAAACCGGAACGGACTTTCCTGCCGGCATATTCCATTCTCCAGCCACCTCTCCGGCTTGAAATCCAGGCAGTCTTTCCCCCATATACTCTCCATCCTGCCCATTGCGTATGCGTGGTACGTCACGCACCATCCCTTACCGACGAAGGTTCCGTCCGGCATGATGTCATCCTGCAAACACTGCTTCTCGTCCAATGGCACCGGCGGATACATCCTCAGCGATTCTGAGAGCGCCGCTTTCAGGTAGTGCATTTGTCCCATGTCATCGAAGTTAAAGGCTTCGCTGCCGGTACCGTTACGATTCCTGATGGATTTCATCTCGTGTAGTATGTTTCCCTCGACGTCTGATCTTGACGATAAAACCCAGAAGAACCAAGTAATAGAAGACGTCATCGTGTCTCGTCCTGCAAGCATGAAGCTTATGATAATGTCGCGAAGGAACTCGGCTGAGTTCGACTCGTTCGCAATGAATCGTGACAGTAGATCATCGGTGTCTTCCTTCTCGCCCTTCTCTTTCATTCTCGACTTTATTATATCATCCGCAAAATCATGAACGATAGAGATTGCTTTTCTCATTCTTTTCTCTGATCCTATGTTGAGCGCCTTCTTGATCCTCCACATATAGGGCAAAGCATAGAAGAATCGCCCAGCGCTGTACGTCGATGCTTCGCCAAATGCATTCATGAATTCTGTTCCAGTGGTTCCTTCGCTGCCGAGACAACCTGGGTCCATGTTGAACGATAATCTACAGACAGTATCAAACGAGAAACGCTCCAGAATATCTTGCATGTCTACAACCTGGTTCAGCACACTTGCTCTCTTCAGAACAGGAACCAATCTCGTCTGAATCTCCTCCTCCACGCTCTTCATGAAAAAGTTCCGAAGTGATTTCGTGTTGAATTCATAACTCGCCGTCTTTCGCTGGATCTTCCAGATCTCTCCGTCGGCGTTGAAGATGCCTCTGCCAAGGAAGTCTTCTAAGTAGGATGTGACACGGGAGCCTTTTGGGTAGTTATGGAAGTTGCTCTTGAGCATATGTTCGACGTTTAGTGGGTTTGCAGTAATGATGCCGTGCACCTTGCCGGGGTGGTGGTAGTCAAGAGTATTAGTGGGGAGTCTGGCAAGGACTTCTGAGCTCCAATCCAGGAATCGGTGCCGGTTCTTTATGAATTCTGGTAGCACTCCGAAGCAAGGGAAGGGTTTTATGGCTACATTAGACGAAGATTTCTTCTTTGAAGCGTAGAGAGAGAGATAAATGATGATAAGTAAGAAAATGAACAGGAGAGATTGTGGAGAGAGTGGATACATCTCTGTAAGTGATTGTGGAGAACGACAACCAGTTTCTTGAATACAGTGATAGGTGATCGCCTGATAGGTGGGGGGCTGAATTAAAATTCTTGGGGATATTGAATGTGGAGGTGATCAGGTGAGGTGGACTGAAATCTAAATTTTTCTACTGTTTTCCAAACAACATTAATATACTGCACATAGAATCAATGCTTTTACACGGTAGGGCCATGATATTTCCTTTAGCAGCGTACCTTTTGTTGGAGGCCCCACCATTTCTGTATATGTTATGAATTGGAGATTTAAATGGCCCTTACGGGGTGTCTCAGTCGGTATCAATTAATTATAAATAGGGGTGGAAACGGATCGAATTCGAAACCATTTAAAAATTCGATTCGATATATGATGGACGTTGAAAATTAATATTCGAATTCGAATCTGATTAAATATTTGAACATTCAATTTAATTTGAATTCGATTAATTAATTATTTTAGATAATTAATAAATATATAAAATAAATATTTTAGTGATATAAAGTATATAAATTATTTATATAATTTAATTATTATATATAAATATATAAATTATTTATATAATTTAATTATTATATATAAATTGTATAAAATATTTTATATTATATATAAGAATTAAATAATTGGTCGAATTCGGATATTTATCGAATCAAATCAGGTCATATCTGAATTCGAATTTGATTAATTATTCGGTATGAATAGGATATCCGAATTTGACCGATTAGATATTCACATTATCCGAATTCGATTCGATTATATCAAATATGGAATTCGAAATCAGATTTTCGAATACCGTTTACACCCCTAATTATCAACAATCACTACTTCTAGGAATCGGTGTTGACACGTAACAATAAGGTGGGTTTGGCCGTCAATCGATGGAGTCTGGTTCAATCGGATACAAAAACATAAAACATTTATTTTCATTTCACACTCAATTCGAATTCCCCCTTCCTATCCTCATTTCGACCCCTAGCACAATATTAGCTCATCGGTGCCTTCACTCCACACTGACGCCTCTGAAGGATGAAGCCACCGGCGACCCTGTCCATGGTTCTTTCAATTTTTGACTAAATCTCTCCCTTTTGCCGAGAACATAGTACATGCAATTGAATGAAGTCTCTTTGTATGGGATGGAAGGAACAGGTGAAGAAGTGATTGCAAATGATGCCATGGAAGGTGAACACTTCAGAAGGAAAGGAAACGATCATGCCCTAAAACCAAGCAAGCACAATGTGTTGGATCCATCCGTCATGTTTATATCTCTGGGAAGTGGTTGGGCCAAGAGCTCACCCCAAGGATTTACAAACGCTTTACACAGTCGGAGCTTAAACAGATGTGTAAGCTTTATAGCTGGATCAAAACCTATGTATGCTAGCCCTCATTCTACTAATGATGCAGGAGTAATGGTTGAAGAATTGACATTGAATAATTACAAGAACCCAAATTTATTTGTACATCATAGCTCAAACAATCGGGAAGGAGTAGTGGTTAGGCAAGGCAAGTGGCAAATCCTTTATCAGCTAGCTGGTGGGTTGGGAAGTGAGAGTTCACATGGGCATATGGTGTGCGTAGGCAAGATATGAACCAGGTGGTTGGTTGTTCATATCAGACTAGGTGGTTGGTTGTTGTTCCCACCAGTGTAAGGGTTCGATCTATTGAATAGAGAACACAAGAAGCCCCTTGTAAGAAGAAGAAGAAGAAGTACCATCGGACGATTTGTTTCTCCCCGCTAGTGGCTTCGTCATTCACGGGGGCACAAGAAGCCCCTTGTAAGAAGAAGAAGAAGAAGAAGTACCGTTCAAATTGAGTGTGAAATGAAAATGGATGTTTTGTCTTTTTGTGTCCGGTTGAACCGAACTCCATTGGTTGATGGACAAACCCACGTTAACGTTACCCATCCTACGCTCAATCGACGTAGCTGAACGTGATTGGTGGGTTCACACATCCAGTGCACCCATGGGTGCATAGAACACAGACTCTATTTCTAGAGCCCAGATCTCATGTACTTGAAATATGTGGGCCGGGCCAATAACAAATGAATATGTGTTAGAGTGTGGATCCCATCGAATTAATATTTTACTTTTTAAACTCAAAAGAAAAAGAGGAATCTTTTAACTTGAAGAGAAAAATGGATGTTCATTTTCTCTTATCTATTATCTCTTAAAGTGCAATCATACAACTTTTTATTTTCCAATGATACCCCCAAAGAAGACAAACAAAAACTCTCATATATGGGGTCAAAATGGATATTTGATAATTTTTAAAATTCAGAACAACATTCTCAACATTCAGAGTTCAAAGGAAAGAAAAGTTCACCAATACCAATATACCTCTTAATGTAATTATTGCACTTCTAGATGTCAGACTTCAGAGCAAACGAACAGGCTAGGGGTGTTCATTATACGGTTCAAAACGCAAAATCGAACCAAACCAAACTCAATTTGCGGTTTGGTTCGGTTTGAGAATTTTCTAAATTACGGTTTACGGTTTCTATTTGGTTTATTGAATTTTATAAACCGAACCAAACCGTAAACCAAAATTTTATATATAATATGAATATATGATATATAAATATTATACATAATATATCTAAATGAAAKGCGTAAAATTATAAATATATAATGAACTCTTTATTTTATAATAAAATAATAAATAAAAGCTTTAAGTTTTAATTTTTAGGGGAACTATTTGGGCTTTCTAATTGGTTAAGCCCAAAAGAATCATAGAATGGTCCAAAGTCCCCAAATTGTATTAGAAACCGCACCAAACCATAATAAAACGGTTTGGTTTGGCTTCCATACCAAAACAATTTGGTTCAGTTTAGAAATTTCTCAAACCATAATTTGCATTTACCAGTTTGGTCTTATATCTTCTCCAAACTGCACTGAATCGGACTGTGAACACCCCTAGAACAAGCCCTAAAAGTGAAAAAAAAATGAAATGAAACTGAAAGTTTTCCAATCTTGGACTCCACACGATGAAATCCAAAATCTACGCATCATTAACGATTGCAAAAAGCTTGGTGAAAAATCTATATGAAAGTACTCATTTGCAAGTTGCTTCCTTGAATCTTTACAGTGAAACCTTTTGAACTGTGGGATTCAATTTTTCTTTAAATATGGATTTTCTTCTTACATCTTCGATCAAGAGTGGGATTTGGAGGCTCTTCATTTAAGACAAGTTTAAGTTTTCTTCTAGTTTCAGAAGGACAAATTACATGTATTATTCAATTTTTGGGTCCCACCAAAGCAAGGACATTTCAGCATCTCACTCTAGTTATTGAAAACAACTTTTTAGAACCTATTTTCTATGCATCTTACTTTAACCACTAAACTATTGTTATAAAGTTTCAATTATTTGAATCAAATTCTGTTTTAACCACTATTAATATGATAAAAAGCTCATATTCCAGTAACGAATTGTTCACATGGAATAATCCCTTCAATATGATACCTATTGAGGATAACCCTACTGCCACATCATCAGGAGCCGCCATGTCATTAGATAGATCTCCATCCACAGATAGATCTCCATCCATAGATAGATCTCCTTCTATAGATGTAACTCTATCCAGATTGAGATAGAACTCAACTAACTAGATAGACCCTATCAGCTAGAGTTTACATCAATGATAAACTCTATCTCATAGAGTTCAATGTTATCTGACTCTCTCCAACTATTGTTGTACCCAAACTGTACTTCTTCATCTATAAATACACATGGTTCGAATGGTTCATTATTTCCATTGAACCATTCTCCATTTATTTGGTTTTTCTATTTCTTGTTTTATTTCTTTAACTTGGTATCAAAGCTAGTTCTCATGGCTTCTTTCAATAGCTCAATAGGAGGAGAGATCAACAATCTAGGGTCATTGACACCACCATCTACAACAGGTACGCCAGGTTCAATTCCAAATGTCTCTTACTATTTCCCTATCAAATTGAATAGTGACAACTACCTGCTATGGCGAGCGCAACTTCTTTCCATTCTTCGTACTCACAAACTCATGGGGATCGTAGAAGGGAAGACTCTTGCTCCTCCTGAAGAAATTGATGATCCTGACCATCAAGGAAGATTATCAACCCAACATTCGATCACTGGTATCAACTGGATCAACTGGTACTCAATTGGATCAATTCTTCACTTACTAAGGGTATCCTAGTTCAGGTTGTAGGTATGTCCTCATCCTATGATGTTTGTAGTGCGTTGGAGGAGTCCTTTGCTTCCCACTCACATTCTAGAGTCTTGCATTTAAAAGAGACAACTCCGGAGTATCAAGAAAGGTACTCTTTCTATTTCTGAATACATACAGAAGGCCAAAGGTATTGTTGACAACCTTTCTGTTGTTTCTGAACCTGTCTCTCGACAAGATCTTGTTATGTGTATTTTGAGTGGACTTGGATCTAAATATGAGTCCATTATTACTACTATTGCTAATAGACCTGATTTTAATAGACTAAGAATTGCTGATGTTGTTGGCCAATTACTCAATCATGAGTCTTGGCTCAAAGAAAATCATTTTACTAAGTCTGATGATGGAGTTTCTGTTAGACAGTTTTGTATACCCTTAGCTTTAATCTGATTTGATGTACTTTTAACATTTAGTGTAAATAAATAAAGTGCATATTTGATTCATGTTGTTTGGTATGATTCTGTGTAAGACCCTAAAACTGGACATTTACTGAGACTCGTGTTAGTTTTAAATGTTCACAGCCATTGGATAAGTTTGGGGAGATTTATCCAACCAAGGCTGATACTGGTGTGCTGCCAAGTGTTGGGTTGGCTTGTCTCGGCCACCAGAACAACATGAATGGGAACTCTCTCACGGATGTGGGAGAGTTCCCATTTCTATCCATTTGCTGTTGGATCTGTCAGAGTGTTTCATAAGATGATAGGGGCATCATAGACCGATGTGGGAGGGGCTTCACCAGAAAATGGGAACTCTCTCACGGTACCTTGGCGTAACCTGAATATGATGGGTGGGCACTCACTGGACAGAAAGGTTTACCTGAAAATGGCTCTGAACCTTGTCTGACAGAGGCAAAAGGGAAATTCATATGATGAGTGGATATGATCTGTCATAGAAAGGTGGTGAGGTTTTGCAGCTGAAACAGTTGGCTTCATGCACCATATGTGATTTCCCACATTTCCAGATACATTTTGCCGTCTCCATCACTGAGACAGGAGGGAAATCTCAGAAATGAACAAAATGGGAATGGAACAT